CCCTCTATTTTCTCTCTTTCTTCACAGACAGCAGCTAAGCTGCCATCTGTGTGTCATATTCTCCTTTCTCTCTCTACCTTCACAGAGAGCAGCTAAGCAACCATCTGTGTTCTCTTCTCTTCCCTCTCTTTTTTCACAGACAACAGTCAAGCCACCGTATGTGTTCTCTCTCTCCCCCCTTCATAGACAGTAGCAAGCTGTCGTCTATGTTCTTTCCCTCTCTTTCATCTTCACAGATGGCAGCAAGATGACATCTGTGTTCTCTCCCTCTCCTTTCTTCATAAATGACAGGAAGCCACCGTCTGTGTTCTCTCCCTCTCTTCTTTCTTCACAGATTGCATCAAGTCGTCATCTGTTCTCACTTTCTCTCTTCTTTTTTCACAAACTTCAGCAAGCCATTGTCTGTGTTTTCTCTCTCCCTCTTGTCTCTCTTCACTGATGGTAGTAGGCCGCTGTTTGTGTTCTTTCTCTCTCTCCTCACAAACGGCAACAAGCTGCTATCTGTGTTCACTCACCTTCTTTCTCTCTCTTTATAGACGACAGCAAGCTGCCATCCTTGTTCACACACCTTCTTTCTCTCTCTTTCTTTCTTTTCTCTGTACACAGATGGCAGTCAAGCCTTCATCCGTGTTCATTCACCTTCTTGCTCTCTTTCTTTCTTCTCTCTCTACGCAGATGGTAGTCAAGCCACCTTTCGTGTCCTTCCTTCCTTTTTCCTCTCTCTTATTTTCTCTTTTCTCTCTTAATGTTCTTGTTTCCTTTATTTGAAGGATCTGCGTGAAAAATAGACCAACCTTCTCTATTTTTATTTTCTCTTTGATCATGCCTTTTTTGAAGGACTAGTTGAAAGACATACTAACCGTCATCCTTTTCCTTTTAACACACATTACTTTTGGAGTACTGGGTAAAAAGTAGACCGGCCTTCAATTTTTTCTTTCTTTATTTCTCTGAAGTACTGGGTGAAAAGTAGACCAACCTTTAGTTTCATGTTCCTTTATTTCCCTGAAGTACTAGGTGAAAAGCAGATCAGCCTTCAATTCCTTCTTTTCTTTATGTCTTTGGAGTGCTGGGTGAAAAGCAGACCAGCCTTCAAACTCCTCTTTCTTTCTTCTTTTCTTCTCTCTCTTTCAATCTCTCGATCTCACCCTTTTTCTCTTTCTTTACTGTAAGATTTATACAAGAGTCCTTTCTCAAGGAAATGCCATAAGGTTGTATTATTGACATGGATTCCATTGTGTTATTTTTCATTTTTCTTTGAGTACACACGCAGGTGTGTGCTCACCCTAAGACAAGCTGGGGTCCTCAGACCCACTTGTCTGTATTCTAATATGTGTGTGTGTTTGCAAGAAGGAAGAAGTAAGCCAAGGGAGATGATTCTGAACCAGCCATAGGTCAGGGGGCCATTCTACGTGATCTAAGAGGGCGCCCATGCGAGTTAGCTTGAGCGTGTCACAGACCCACATGAGTTAAGTCCCGCTCATGACTCAATTCCTATATCACTGGTTGGTATTCCTGCCCGTGTCCTCCCTATGTGGCTCACGAGAAAGCGGTCTTAGGTCCCGGGTCCATCTCGAACCCGGAGCTATGCCACCAAGTCATCCCGACCTGAGGGAAGATCGAGGCATCTAACCACTCCATTCCCTCAGTCTTTCCTAATGGCCAACCCAATGTAAATTCTCAAGTTATCTCCCCGGCGGTTACCTAGAAAGACAAACATGATCAATCAAAGCATTCAGGGCATACAACTCATAAAGACCTGTGAAAATGCTCACTATAAGAAGCCTTACCCACCCTTCATTGACCAAGTTCCTTTTCCCCTAGGTTACCAAAAAGAAAGACTGCATATCTTTGATGGTACTGGCTCAACCCATCAACATGTGGCACACTTCGTGTCAACATGTCCAGAGTTAGCTTCCGGTCCCAGACTGCTTCTTCGATAGTTTGTGAAGACACTAGCCGGGCCTGCCTTTAAATGGTATGCACAATTTCCTCCGGATTCTTTTCCCTCTTGGGAAGAAATGGAACAGTTGTTATATAAATGCTTTTACAAAGTCGAATGAGAAGTTCAAGCTGTAGTCACAATGGCTCAAAGGGTAAATGAACCAATAAATGAATACATTCAGAGATGGAGGGACATTGCAGTGTATCAGAGTAACCCATGCTTAAGATTGATGTTGTGCAAATCTGTATTAGAAACATGAAGAAAAAAATATCCCTTTAAGTTGAAGCATCTAATCCCACTACTTTCTCATCCAAATTCGATTGGGAATAGGGTTATTGCTTCTTTGTATGAGAGAACCTAGATTTCATGGTATATCCTATCCATGGGTTACCATTGCAATGAAGATAAGAACATGATCCAATAAAATTAAATAATATTATCAAAGAATTTCAAATTACCAATGAAAAAGCACATTGTCTTGAGTTGGAATATCTTTTTCTTGAGTTGGAATAGAGTTAAAAAGGTAACATTTTGAATAGTTCATGTCCTAAAGGATATTTTAATAAATTTTCCTTTTTATAACTCAATGTTACGTCTAGTGTGGTCATGATTTCAAAGATAACAAGATTGAAAGCATACTTAAGCACCATGGTGGAACTCAGTTTCGGAACTCAGGGGGAGGTCAAAGCCAAAATTTCACTACTAACATGTTTAACTCTTTAACTAGTTAGCAAAGAGACACAGTCAGTGCAGTGGTTACCGCCACACCCATTCTTCCCAAAACTCCTACTGCCTATGAACCTTTTAATACATTGGATACTTTGCAGGGAATAATACCATTCAGGGGTCTAGGGGAACCCCAGGACTGGTAGTTCCAACCTCAGGCTTATAACAGGGTACCTCTACCACCAAAGTTGTACCAGCTTAATCAATTTGAGCAAATGTTGAACAAGCAGTATAACTTTAGCAAAACTTGGGTACCAGTCTTGTTAAAAATGATGTTGGAACAAGGTACAATAGTTCTTCATGAGCCAAACAGACCAGATCATGTGGGACTTACTAATCACATGAATTAGTGTGCCTAACATCGGATGCTGAGTCATCTTGTGCAAGACTGCTTCCATTTTAAGGACCACATTGAAGCCTTGATTCAGAGAGCAAAAATTCATTTAGACTGTAGATGAAAATATTTTGAGACTGCGGAAGCTTCACATGTGGTCACCGTTGAAGAAGAACGAGTGCGGGCCTTGCAACCAGAAGAAGTACCACCTGACCTTATACCCGACCATTTCGCTATGATGGCGTTACAAGGGTTGATTACCCTGCTCTCATCAAGACAACCCAAACATTTTGTTTAGGGAATTGAAAATGTCTGGTGTCTATTCCACCAAGTGTGGGGCCATGAGATATCTCTGTGTTGTCATTTCAAGACATTTATACAAGAGTTCACAGTTAAAGGTCGAATTATTGTCAATGTACCAGTCTCAACTCGTGAACCACCTAATCCAGTGAACCTTAAAAATGCCACCAAGGCACCTCTTACTTCTTGCAGTACGAAGGAAGACGAGAAAGTTCAATCAAATGAGTCCAAAAAGGCAGGTGAAACAATGGAGGCATCGCACATGATCATAGTTCAAGAGGAATAGCCTCAGAGCATCCCTATGGATGAACTGTCCCTTGACAAGTTTCCCATCATTTTTTATATAGTTGTATAGTAGGAGATGAAACCTTGCTTGCCTAAGAAGCCAAAATACTTGAAGGAGGAGTGTAAGGATGTTTTGTGCTAATATCTTCAGATGAAGGGACATAACCTATTCCATTGTTGGTGATTCCGAGTCATCTTAGATGATATTATAAGAAATGGTGAAGTGTTCATAGATAACAAACCACCTCCACCTCAAAAGGTTTCTCAAGAATTCGAAGCCCTGTTGCATAAGATAGTTGAGCAAGTGCATGCTCTTACTCATGAAACCCCGGAAACTCATGTTCCCTAGGCTCCCAATGTTGTACGTCATTTTTGAAGTACTTACATCTCTCAAGTGAACAAGGAGAAAGCCGAAGTTGTGCCGTAAAATAAAGCTTTGAATCTTATGACCTAGGTACCGTGCCATCACATTAAGGAAGGACCTTTCAACTTTATCCTTATGCTAGCAACTTCAAAACTATGCCAGACCACTGCCATTGCATTCGGAATGTCGAAAAACCCTCGGGGACCAAATTTGGGCTCAGTCGGACCACCTCAAGGGAGTCTACACCCACACTGCCTCGCAGCAGGCGGGTTTCACATTAGCATGGTGCGGCTAACCGAACCAATCCCAACCATGAAGACTGCGACATCGTGTTTCAGGAGCAGCTTCAAGAACCTATGTTGCCTTCCACTAAAACCAGGAAGGACCCAGATTCAGATATGTTCTAAATCATGCTAGCCTCGTCATTTTGACCTAAGGCATCCATTGTGGCGCGACCTGGAGTTAAACTTCTTCCGAAAAGAACGTGCTTGCAAAACCAAAAAACCAGGGTTTAAGAAGAAGAAGAAGCCTTGAATTCAGTGAAGCACAACTCAACATCCAAGCATCGGATCACAGAGGGGATGAGTTCAATGCAACCACCTCGCAAAGAGCTACAGACTGGTATTACTCTTGCATTTAATCTAAGGTCCGATGAATGTAAGTCCCCAGGTCACAAAAGAAGTACCAGGTCATAGAAGAAGTAAACCTGCCTAGTTGACGGAATCCCTCTTTCCGGTGACTTTCCAAATTAGGAAAAAATCAAACCAAAAGAGAATCAGCCTAAACTTGGTGCAAAATGATTGAAACTGCCTCCTCTCTGTCACGACCCCACTCCCTGACCCTTGCCAGAGGGCGACAGAGCGTGGGATCACGACTGGAGGTTATGAATGTCACTCAGGTGGGAGTGGCTCAACACATAAAAACATGGAATCGAGAGCAAACCACAAAAGAATACTAGAATAAATCCATTCATTAAACAAGAATCAAACCAAAGGTACAACCATTTCATTCATTCATTATCAAAAGTCTTTACAATTTCTTAGAGGCACTACTGGCCCAAAATACACAAAATGAAGTATCATGCTGCTGAAATCACCAAAACATACTGTGAACATCTTCGGAAGATGGCTTCTTAAACTTCTTAATTTTGGGCGTCAAGCCCTCAAATTGCCACCCACCTTTGGTACTGCTGCCGCTACCCTTCACTCTACAGTTATGAGATTAAGATGGAATGAGCTAAAAGCCCAGTAACCAGATCACTACCCTTGCGTTCCCGACTAACAGTATATATATACATGATAACATGCCCATAGTTCATCCGAAATTGCATTTGTCTTACAGAGTGTTGTCACATATCAGATTACATATGAATGCTATATAATGAGAGTAAGAATCAGTTAACGGAGCATTACTCATCCTCAAAATGACATCTACTAGTTACCATCAGATAGCTTTACAGAATACAGAATACAAAAATCAGATAAGCATAATAGATTAATTTACACTCAAAGTAAAAGCCACATTGATCAGGCTAAGCCAATCCTGTAACTTGAGACTTCTACTCTCATTCAAGAGGGAGGATAATGACAAGTGGGTGCCCCACTTCATAATATCCTCACTCACGCACACATCCCCAACGTGCTTTGGGGTTTTCGATAGGCCAAGGCCTTGCAAGACCCGACCATCAATTGTGCCTTAGGCGAGAGGGCGTTACACTACCATTGAAGGACCTAATGCATAGTGCACATGAAAATTCGTGGGGCGTGAGCCTCCCAGTTATTTACAGTTACATCTTGACTGCATTCCTATCATAAGAATCTAGGTACAAAATACCTGACTACCATTGGAGGACCCATTGTGTAGCGGTCATAAAGTCAGTATATCCATTACCAATGGAGGACCCATTGCGTAGTGGTCGAAAATCACATATAACAGAATTCATGTAACAGAATCAGAATATCCACTACCAATGGAGGACCCATTATGTAGTGGCCGGAAATCACAGAATATCAGTTCTCATATAACAAGATCAGAATATTCGCTACCAATGGAGGACCCAATGCGTAGCGGTCAAGGCATATAACAACATCAACATGACAGAATCACAGTTTCCACTACCAATGGAGAACCCATTTCATAGTGGTCAGAAATCCGTATTCATATAGTAGAATCAGACCGTATCAGTATCACATTACTCAAATCCATATTATATCAGTATCAACATTAAATGATCACATTATCAGAGTCATGGAATATTAGTGTCGTTATCACATTTCTTGCAATTTAGCCCAAGACATCTGGTCAAAACATGTTCATAACTTTGGAAGTTAAAGACCGTTCTAGAACTAATTTTTGCACTAGAAACTCCTACCTTTCAAATGGGAGTGGTTCGAAGACAAATGGGCCCCGTTTGACCTCTTAAAGGTTCCAAGAGGTTAGGGCTAACTAGCTGCACCTTGCGATGTATAGTGGACAGCAAGGTACCCTGCTTCATATCACTATAACTTTCAAAACGTGAGGTAACTTGTGATAGTTTCAAAATCAAAGTCTACGCCAAGATGTATAGCTTTCTAATAAGGTTAATTTGAAAGAATTTGGATTCCATTTAGTGGTTCAAAAGTTCATACCAAATAGGGTGATCTTTCTGAATTTTATCAATACTGCCCACAGTGACATACCTTCATAAGTTGAAGAATAACTTTCAACCTATAAAGAATTTAAAAATATTTTCTCATGAAAATTGTAGCCCATTCAATGATGTTTCAAATGGCTATGGTTTGGCCAAAAATGGACTTCGTTTGGTTAGTTAAAACCAGTGCCAACAGCAGCATCAATCGAAAATCCAGCAAAACAGTCAATAGTGATATACTCTCTCATTTTGAAACACAACTTCATTTTCATAAAGAATTTCAACAATAAGCAAAAAAAAACATTTTACTAGACTCCTATATCTTTCTCACGGGGTGGTTTGAGGTCAATCGAACCCCATTTTATAGTTCAAAAGCCTCATTCAAGCACACACATAATTCTGGAATTTCACAGTGGCATATAACATGACTCAAGAATACATTCCATAACCCTCATTTCATGGTGAGTAATATGATAACAACCATTCTCTCACAATGTTAACACACATAACATGTATTTCTTACACAATCTAAGAATCAAACATTCATTCTCAACATCTATCATTATCATAAAACAAAAGCCCGAACTTCTAGTGAAAAAGACGTAAGGATTTCTCCAACACAAACACTTTTATTGCCCATTTCACATGCATAAATTCCCATGCATCCTTATGATTACAATGCAACGGTGATGGATCTACTTACTTGAATAACAATGGGGCCTTCTCCAAACCTCTGTTCGCTCTCACCCGCTCAACAATGGTTGTCCTCCACCAATCACTTCTTCAAACTTTGGGTCTTAAAGAGGGGAGAAATGATGGAAGAGTGAGTGCATGGATGAGAGGAGAGGCTTACGGACTCTTATATTTGGCGGGGTGGTCCAAGTGTCATCAAAAGACTTAAAATCCGAACAAGTGGCACTCACATCAGCATGCATCTAACAAGTGGCACTCATAATCCATGCATATCAGTACCGCAACCGGTGCTGTTCTCCAGCACACAACACAGTGGGCGTTGGTCTCCTGCACACAACACAGCCGACATTGGTATTTCTTCTCCTACATAGCCGGAGCTGGCCTTTTCTCACAACACAGCCGGTGCTGACACTTCTTCTCTTCATAGCCGGCGCTGCTCACAACTCAACCGGTGCTGACACTTCTTCTCTTCACAGCCGGTGCTACTCAAAACTCAGTCGGCGCTGTCACTTCTTCTCTTAACAGTCCGAGCTACTCACAACTCAGTCTACGTTGGTACTTCTTCTCTTCACACCCGGCGCTACTCACAACTCAGCCGGCGCTGGCACTTCTTCTCTTCAGAGTCGGTGCTACTCACAACTCAGCCAACGCTGACACTTCTTCTCTTCACATCCGACGCTACTCACAACTCAGCCGGCGCTGACACTTCTTCCTTCCTCCCTATCCCTCCATGCATTCTAATTGACCGGGAAATGTTTTGGTCATCATAGCTCTCTCACTTGCAAGCAAGGGAAAAAAATGCTTAGAGTCGCAAGGACGTTGAAGATGTGCTCAGGAATCATCTGAACCATGGCCACAAGATGAAAAAATCTTCCAAGATCTGGCCATGGCGGAACAACCTGCATGCAAGGATGGCTTCATCTTTAGCGGAAAAGATCTCATGGACATTTTGGTCATTGCACTTAATTTCACGATTAATTCCAAATTTATTAAATTGTAATTAAGCTTTGTTTTTTAGCATTCACCCCTATTTGGTGAATCGTCTATAAAAGCAAGCTTAAGTCATTTGTAAAGGAGGCTAGAAAAATCCTTTGGGCAAGGTACTTACCAAATATAAAAAGGGGGCATTACATTTATCGTCTGCTTTTGAGTCCTTAGATCCGTCGAGAGGAGAGAGAAAACTTTGAAAGAGAGGAAAAAAACCTTGAGCATGTGGACTTTTCCTTTCTCTCTCCTAAACAGAGCCGTGCCCTAACCCCTCTCTCTCTCTCTCTCTTCCCCCTTTACCCTACACAAATTGTCTGCCCCGCACAACTACCCGCATCACCAATAGACACGTGGATACGAGTGCACCCACGAGCACAACACCTTGGGTTCTCTCACACCCCTCGATCGGCCAACCAGCCCCCTCGAGGCCATAGTCCTAAGGAGGGACGATCGGATCCCATTCTGGTCCCAAGCAACAAGGATAGAAAGAGTAGGGAGGTCGCGAACCTAAAGAGAGTCTTTATCAAAACCATACTGACGCACAGCAGGAGGGTTTCGTACCTCTACTAAGAGGGATGACCACATGGACATGTCCCCTGAACCCCAAGCGGCGAGGTTAGCACTATAAAGCACCCCCATCATCGAAAACCTCTCTCATTTTTGGTGCCTATCCACCCACAAGAGCACCACGCGCCCATGTGCAGCACTCATTGGTGTGCACCCTCATATGCTCATGTGAGCCCTCATATCCTCATGTGAGCAACCCCACTGTTGTCTGAGAGAGGGATTTCGGCTTGACCCGCCGAGAACCAGGTCCGACGAATTGACGACTCCACTGGGGACACATCACCTTGTCGTTGGCTTGGATTATTTTCCAGTACCAACCTCTCTTTCTTCTTTCGCTAAAGTTGTTATGAGATCCCACTGTCCCTCCTTAGTCTAGATTAGGGATTTCTACATCCTCATATCTACGACCTTACCTACAATGAGCAGACCATCTGGTCTTGCCTCTCCCACGTTCTACTCGAGCGGCCTGGCTGGTCCTACTATCCTAGTCCTGCTTAGAAAAACTCGGGGAATGGGCGCTCATACTCCCTGCCCTTCCTCTTTCGGCATCAAGGGGACATCCCCTGATATCAACTGCAAGGGCGGCACTATGACTGCCCCCTCACACAAGCACCCTCTCACTGAAGGGCACCCCGCCAGTCACGTACCTCAACGTAGTTCATGTGCCACTACTCCTATGCACCTGGTAGGTCGTAGCAGGACCACTACCTCTACGGGTAACTAAAAAGTGACCACATCCATGTCTCATAGGGGCACTGCCAGCGTTGGCGCCCCCATGCACCCACCTCACGCTGGCGGCTTCTATGCCAATCCGTGCGGCCACTGCGCACCCATACACATATGTTATTGCTGACGATCCAATCGTCACAATAATGAATCGGGACAGGCAACAGCCCACCCTACTCGCTCCAACTATTTGTGTCCTTCCTACCCAGACGCAGTGTGGGTGGTCCCAAGACCACCCACATCATGCATACTATCCCTCTAATTTAGGGCAACCCAAAGACTGAGGCTCGACAAACACGTGACTTTTGAGACAATCGAAAACTCCCATAAATTGGTGCACATGTATGTTAAAGGCCATATGGCTACACCGACTAAACGGGAGGGTACCACGAGTGTGTTTGAAGTCATTTTCCATTACTTGTATCCCCAGTGTGAATAAAGAGAGAGCAGTTCGTGACCTGGGTCTGTAGGTACCAAAATGCATGTGACTATGGAAGATCTAGAAGTAAAATTTTCAACAGTATAAAAATGGCCCAAGAAGGTTCAAGATCGTGTCTAAGAGTTTCCTAAGAGTATCTACCACGTTTTGTCGCAATCTGATGAGC